GTGGTGGTGTGGTGGTGGTTTGTAGTGGTGGTGGTGGTGGTGTTGGGTTGTGGTGGTGGCGGTGGTTTGTGGACGTTTGTTGTGGTGGTGGTGGTGGCGGTGGTGGTAGTGGTGGTGGTGTGGTGGTTTGTGGTGGTGGCGGTGGGTTGTGCTGCTGGTAGTGGTGGTGGTGGTTGTGGCGGTGGTGGTGGTGGGGTGGTAGATTGGTGGTGGTGGGTTTTTTTTTGTGGTGGTGGTGGTGGTGATGGTGAGTTGCGGTGGTGGTTGTGGTGGTAGTGGTGGCTGTGGTGGTGGTGGCGGTGGTTGTGTGGTGCTGTTGTTGTTAGTGGTGGTGGCGGGTTGCGGCGGTGGTGGTGGTGGTGGTAGTGGTGATGGTGGTGGTAGTGATGGTCATCTTCAGCTGCGCGTCCCCGCCGTCGCCGGCGCCAGTGCCGGCGCTCGGGCTGCCCCCCCTCGGTGTCGGTTTGAACCTCCCCCCCCTCGGGCTGCCTCTGGTCAACGTCGCTGCGTCCCCGCCGTGGGCGCTGCTGGCGGCCGCCAGCGCCGGCGCCGAAAGGGAAGGGGGGGGAGGGGTTTTGACCCCCCCCCCCCCTTTTAGGGGGGGGTGGGGTGGGTTGGGGTGGGGGGGAGGGGGTTCGGGAGGGGGTGGGTTTGGGGGGGAGGGGAGTCCCCATGGTTTTGATCGACGGCGCCGAGTGTTGGGGGGGGAGCACCCCCCAGTTTGAAACGCGCCGCCGAATGTTCCCAAGGCAAGCGCCCGTGAAACGCGACGCGTTCTCTCCATAGTCGTGATGATATGGCTCGGAAATGAGATTACATTGAAGGAGTGTTACCTAACAGCTTGTTCTGATAGGTTTCTAGTGGGGTCAAAAGAGAGCAGCAGATGACTCCACAGGGGGGTCTGGGCGGGTGCCGGACAGGGTGCCGCAGAAGTCGTTTTAAGCCAACTGTCACACACTTCGTGCTCTTCGACCTCCAGAACTCCATTCCCGGGCCACATTCTGAATGCCCGGAGCCAATTGTAGGCCACTTCGTGCTCTTCGACTTCCCAGAACTCCATTCCCGGGCCACATTTTGAATGCCCGGAGCCAACTGTAGGCGCATTCGTGGTCGTCGAGTCCCCAGAACTCCATTCCCGGGCCACATTTTGAATGCCCGGAGCCCACTGTAGGCCACTTCGTGCTCTTCGAGTTCCCAGAACTCCATTCCCGGGCCACATTTTGAATGCCCGGAGCCAACTGTAGGCCACTTCGTGCTCTTCGATTTCCCAGAATTCCATTCCCGGGCCACATTTTGGATGCCTGGAGCCAACTGTAGGCCACTTCGTGCTCTTCAAGTTCCCGGAACTCCATTCCTGGGCATGATTTTGAATGCCCGGAGCCAACTGTAGGCCACTTCGTGTTCTTCTAGTTCCCAGAACTCCATTCCTGGGCTACATTTTGAATGCTGAGGCAGGCTGATGCTGCGGCCGAGGCAGGCTGAGGCTGAGGCAGGCTGAGGCTGAGGCCGAGGCTGAAGGCAGACTGAGGCTGAGGCTGAAGCAGACTGAAGCTGAGGCTGAGGCAGGCTGAGGCTGAGGCTGAAGCAGGCTGATGCTGAGGCAGGCTGAGGCTGAGGCTGAGGCTGATGCAGGCTGAGGCTGAGGCAGGCTGAGGCTGAGGCCGAGGCTGAAGGCAGACTGAGGCTGAGGCTGAAGCAGGCTGAGGCTGAGGCTGAGGCATGCTGAGGCTGAGGCAGGCTGAGGCTGAGGCTGAGGCAGGCTGAGGCTGAGGCTGTGACTGCGACTGCCGTTGCCGCTGCGACTGTCATCGCGAATGCGACTGCGACTGCGAGAACAGCAGAATTCTACAACTGGATTTTCATCTGAATCTTAAGGGGAATGCTTTCAGATATGCTTCTACACATCGCTGTTAGGTTGCTTTGGCGGGATAATTTATATCATGGTGAGGAAGAAGGAATAATGAGGGGAGAGGGAGGAGATGGGGGAGCGATGTCGGCACCTGTTATCTTACAGTTTGCACATGGTTTCGGTATGTTTTCGGCGGATGTCCGATGCGTTGGGGGGCAGTCACGGGGCAATCGCAGGAATTCTGGGGTCCCGGAGAAAAGAAATGAGGAAGGATGAGAGCGAAGAGGGGGAAGTTAGGAGGCGGAGGAGGAGGAGGACGAACACAAATAAGGAGCGGGGTGATCGGGAGGAGGATAGGCAGGAGGAAGGATGGGGTGGGCATACGAGGGGGAAGAAGGGGAACTGAGGGATAGGATGAGGAGGAGGAGGGAGGAGGGAGGAGGAGGAGGAGGAGGTGGAGGAGGAGGAGGAGGTGGAGGAGGAGGACGAGGAGGAGGCCGAAAAGGAGGAGGAGGAGGAGGAGGAAATGGAGGAGGAAGAGGAGGAGAGGGAGGAGGATGAGAGACGGGGAAGGACTGGGAGGAGGGACGGGGAGGAGAGAAGGACATAGAAGGACAAGGAGGACGGAGAGGATGAGGACCAGTGTCACTGTGCGATGACGTCGGCGACAAAATAATGACTGATGTGGCGGCGGTGGCGACGAGGTTTACGACAAACACAGGGACGAAAGCAAAGACTGCGACGACGACCACGACGACCTCGCCGACCACGACGGACACGACGACCACGATGACCACGACCACGACCACGACGACGATGACGACGCCGACGACGACGACGACGACCACGACCACGACCACGACCACGACCACGACCACGACCACGACCACGACGACGATGGTGACGACGACGACGACGACGACGACCACGACCACGACCACGACGACGACGAAGACGACGACGACGACCCCGACCACGACCGTCGCGGCGGCGGCAGGGCCCGATCGCGGAGGAGCTGTTCCGGGTGCAGCGGGACCGGCCCCCGGCCTTCCGCTGCGAGGCTAGGGGAGGAGAGGGGAGGGGAGGGGAAAAAGGTACCCGGAGAGGCATAGCGCACCAAACACTAGCGCTAAACACAGATGGGTATGCTTACATACATGCATATTTCTATGTGTGTATGGTAGTTCAGCTTTCAATGCTAATCATCTGCGATCGTTGCCACATGCATTGTGTGTATCCAGCTGCTTGTGGCAAGTTCCTCCGCCGGGCCAGTCCAGCAGTTTCGGTGTCAGCTGTTCGAATCGATCAGGACGATGACGATGACGATGAGATGATGAACAGGATAAGGAGAAGATGAGCTGGATCATGGTGGAGGATGGGGGTGAATAACATGCTGATAAGGGTGATGATCATGAGGATGCAGATGATGATGCTGAATATGATGATGATGATGATGATGATGATGATGATGATGATGATGATGATGATGCTGATGCTGATGCTGATGTGCTGATGCTGATGCTGATGCTGATGCTGATGATGGTGATGATGATGATGATGATGATGATGATGATGGTGGTGGTGATGATGATGATGGTAATGCTGCTGATGATGAGGACGATGCTGATGATGATGATGATGCTGATGATGATGATGACTATGATGCTCATGCTCATGCTCATGCTGATGCTGATGGTAATGATGCTGATGGTGATGGTGATGATGATGCTGGTGATGATGAGGATGCTGATGATGATGACGAGGAGGAGCACGAGGAGGACAAGGGCGAGGACGGTCGGGATGGTCATCATCATGATGAATAGTGAGGCTGATGATGCTGTTGCTGATGATGATTGTGGTGGCGATGATGCTGATGCTGATGCTGTTGCTGATGCTGATGCTGATGCTGATGCTGCTGAGGATGGTAATGATAGTGGTGGTGATGATGATTGTGATGATGGTGGCGAGGAGGAGGACGAGGAGGAGGAAGAGGAGGAGGAGGAAGAGGAGGAGGAGGAGGAAAGAGGAGGAGGAAAGAGGAGGAGGAGGAGGAGGAGGAGGAGGAGGAGGAGGCGGAGGCGGAGGAGGAGGAGGAGGAGGCAGAGGACAGCCGTCACTTGTGACGCCTTTCGCCTTCACTTCTCGATGAGCTCTCACGGACCTCATTTGGGCCGTCCTAGAGGACTGGCCTGGGCTCCTGCGGGGCAGTCTTGGGGCTCCCCTGGGGGGCCCTCTTGGGCCCGTCCTGGGGCCAGACGGACTGTCCCGAGGCCCCGGTCTTGTTGGCTTCCGGGCCGGTCCGGGGAGTGGCGGCTTGCCCGAGAGGCTCCTGTCTCTAGTCTCTTGCAGGTGTGTCCGGGATAATTTTTTTACCCTAACAGCGAAGACCTGATAGGTTTCTAGTGGTCTCAAAAGAGAGCAGCAGATGACTCCACAGGGGGGTCGGGGTGGGACCCGGACAGGCTGCCGCCGCGGCTGCCGCCGAAGCCGAAATCGCTTTGGGACGTATACACTCGCAATCGCTCTTGGACGCCTCCCGCAGAGAGACTCCATTCGCCGGGGCCCATTTTGGAATGCCCCGGAGCCGACTGTAGGCCAATAGTCGTGCTCTTTGCGATACTTCATTTGTTTGGCAACGTCGGGCCACATTTTTGATTGCCGCGGGATAGCCAACTGGCCGCCACTTCGTGGTCTTGACGAACGTGTCCCCAGAACTCCACTCCCGGGCCAACATTCTGGATGCCAGAGACAACTGTTAGGCCACTTTCGTGTCTTCGACTTCCCAGACGTCCATTCTCCTGGGGGCAGATTTTGAATGCCCGGGGAGCCAACTGTAGGCCCTTTGTGTTCTTCGAGTTCCCAGAACTCCATCCCCGGGGCACATTTTGAATGCGAGGCAGGCTGATTGCTGAGGGGTGCTGAGGCGGCTTAGGATGAGGCAGGCTGAGGCTGAGGCCGAGGCTGGTGAAGGCAGACGGAGGCTGAGGAAGAGGCAGGCTGAGGCTGAGGCTGAAGCAGGCTGAGGCTGAGGCTGAGGCAGGCTGAGGCTGAGGCTGAGGCTGAGGCAGGCTGATGCTGAGGCAGGCTGAGGCTGAGGCTGAGGCTGATGCAGGGTGAGGCTGAGGCAGGCTGAGGCTGAGGCCGAGGCTGAAGGCAGACTGATGCTGAGGCTGAAGCAGGCTGAGGCTTAGGCTGAGGCAGGCTGAGGCTGAGGCAGGCTGAGGCTGAGGCTGAGGCAGGCTGAGGCTGAGGCTGTGACTGCGACTGCCGTTGCCACTGCGACTGTCATCGCGAATGCGACTACGACTGCGAGAACAGCAGAATTCTACAACTGGATTCTCATCTGAATCTTAAGGGGAATGCTTCCAGATATGCTCCTACACATCGCTGTTAGGTTGCTTTGCCGGGATAATCTCGGCGGGGATTCTTAAGGAGCATCCTGGATCATCCTGCGAAAAAGCCACGCACGAAACTGGAAAAAAACACAGGTAATGGACGTCCGAGAGATGGCCAGCTCTTGGCCGCATGGAGGGTGCATTTGGGCCGTCGTGGGCCAATCTTGGCGCAGTCTCGGGCCGTCGAGCCAGCCTGGAGCCAATTTGGGGGCATCTTGGGGCCATCATGGGGTCCTGTTCGGGCCTTCTCGGGGCACTCTACGGGGTCTCTTGGTGCCACCTTGGGCACTTCCTGGGCCATCTGGAGCTGACGGAAGCCCGAGAGGGCAACGATGCGAGAATCTGGCAGAAGCAACGAGTTGGGTTTCTTCGGGCCCATTTGGAGGTCCTCTTGTGGCCCTGTTGGGCCCTCTTCGAGGCATCCTGGGCCGTCTTGAGGCCCTCTTGGGTTGCCTTGGGGCTATCCCGGGCCGCCTTCGGAGTACCTTGGGCCAACTTGGCGGCCTTGTTTGCCTGCCTTGGCCTTCTTAGAAGCTCGGGACGCGGATCAAAGGCTTTTGCAGGAGGGATCGTCGTCCAGAGAGCCCCGGGAGAGGGGGGCATGCAGGAACTGCTAGTAGGCAGGGAGGGCCCATCGGGATATAGGAACTCCACCGGACAGCCCCTGGCAGTCTTCCACGCGTCAACTTGCACAAGGCACGGTGGCGGATAGAGAGACAGGAGTGAGGGAGGGAGGGAGAGAGGGAAGGAGAGAAAGAGAGAGGGATAGAGAGAAGCAAAGAGAGATGGATGGATGGATGGATGGAAGGATGGATGGATGGGGGAAGGGGAAGAGGATGCGGACGAGGACGATCAGAAACAGAGAGAGAGGGACGGGGAGAGCCGCGAGAGAGGGAGGTAGGCAAGGAAGCACCATGAAGAACGTCATTGGACGGGGCTGCACCCGCGGCGCGAGGAGCTCGTGGAGCGCGCCGGCCTCCCGCTGGACCTGCTCCAGTCGTGGAACCTGAACCCGCTGGAGCTCGACCAGGCCACTTCTAAGGGGAGGAGGAGGAGGAGGAGGAGGAGGAGGAGGAGGAGGAGGAGGAGGAGGAGGGTCGAGGATCGAGGATCGAGGATCGAGGATCGAGGATCGAGGAGGAGGAGGAGGAGGAGGAGGAGGAGGAGGAGGAGGAGGAGGGAGCATGGAGGAGGAGGAGGATCTTCGGCCGCACTCGTATAAAGCTTCTCCTCGTGCTCGCCCTCTTCCTGTCTCCTGCAGCCTCGTGTTCCTCCATTCGTTGGGGTGCACAAGACTGCAGCCTCGTGTTCCTCCATTCGTTGGGGTGCACAAAGAACTCTTCCTCCTCCTTTCTGGTGGCTCCCTGTTCCGTTCGCTCACCGTCGGGGTCTTGCCGCACGAGAGATGCTCGGCCACGACCCCGAGACCCGGCGAGGCTCCACGACGCCCTGGAGCCCCTTCTCGTCCTGAAGAATGGGGTCAAGTTCGGCGCGCGGCACCTGAGTGCGAGGCGGATGATAGGAGAGGGCGGCGAACGCGGAGCCGGTGGCCCCATGGAGCTCGACCTGTGCAGGGGCCGGGCGCGGCACCGGCTCCAGGAGAGCGGTGCTGCGCGCGGCGCTGGAGACTCTGGACACCCGAGATGGGCACGGGAAGAATGGGTGCGATGCCCAACAGCAGTTCCTGTTCATTTTGAACAGGACTCGCTGTCCGCGCCGCCGCGGCTTGTGTCTATTTATTTGAAACAGAGAGCCGCCTGCCTCACAGCGGCCGCTGTTGGTTTGGAACAACATTTGTTGTTGGGCATTGTGCCCATTCTTTCCGTACCCGTTTCGGGCGTCCAAAGGAGATGGTCGCGAACGAGTTCCCGCGGGTCTGCGTGAGATCGCGGGCGGGCGACGCGGACGCGCGCTTGGAGCGGCCGTCCTCTCGGCTGCTTGCAGCAGCGGGAGCGGGCTTCAGCGGAGGAGGCGCCCGATTTGGTCCTCGCCCTGGAGGAGCAGGGGCCCGACCTGGACATCGGAGGAGGAGGAGGAGGGAGGAGGGAGGAGGAGGGAGGAGGGAGGAGGAGGAGGAGGAGGAGGAAGGAGGAGGAGAGGAGGAGGAGGGGGAGGAGGAGGAGGAGGAGGTCTCGAGGAGGAGGAGGAGGGAGAGGAGAAGGAGAGGAGGAGGAGAGTAGGGGAGGAGGAGGGGGCTGGCCCCCCCCCCCCGTTTCGCCGGAGGCATGGAGAAGCGCGCGAAGGAGGTCCTCCATG